TGGTGTTCTTGCTGTTGGTGTTGCTGCTGTTGATAGTACTGCTGTTGATGTTACTGCTGTTGACATTACTCTGCTGTTGCTGCTGCTGTTGCTGCTGCTGTTGCTGCTGTTGCTGCTGTTGCTGCTGCTGCTGTTGCTGTTTGTTTTGTTGTTCTTGTTTCAGCGGGCATTTCTGGAAGTTGTGCTCAGGTATCACAGCAACAGCCATGACTGCGACCGGCCGCTTCAAGACGTCCTCGCGGAGCATCCGGGCATGGACGGCTTTTGCTACTTCAACGCCAGTGCCATGTACGTGAATTTCTATGAGCAGCATGGCTGCAGTGGGTCTCGTCTCTGGCAGCTTGGTGGATTTTTTAAGAGGCACCTAACCCTCCAGAGGCTCACAGGCCAATGAGCGGCTCTATCCAAGAACTCCAGAACTTTCTGGCTGGCTGGGCTTCGGCTGGGCTTCGGGATCAATCCCGAGGTCGGAAGCGCCGGATTATGTGGGCTCTCCTGCGAAGAGCATCCTGAAGTTGCGGGGAACCAACTACCAGGGCCTGGACTCCGGGCCTTTGGTCACATTCCACTTCGAGGGCCAGGCGTGCAGGAAGGTCCTGGGTCAACATTGAGACATCTGGTTTCATTTGTGCGTCAAAATGATGGTCAGATAAAAATTGGTTAGATGAGATTAGATGATGGTCAACATAAGGTTAGATAAGATTTAAATCGCGGGTTCAGGGTACGTTGACCAAGGTTCCCTGTAAATGGTGGGGTGAGTGAGGACATGCCTCTCTGAGATGAAATGGAAAGCGTTGCTCAAAGAGACGCCTGGGTGCCAAACTGTGGGAATCCTGGAGCTAAGCCACACCAACGAAGTCCCATGAGGTACACACGAACTCACACGAACAGCGTGCACACGTGTAAGGAAAATATGGTAACATGGTTGTATCAGTATCATTTGAAGAGTTGCTTAGGAAGCTAGGTCAAGACGCAACTGAGTGCATGGAAGATGTGCAGTTGTTTTGGAAGGCGATCACAAGCCACATCGACGTAGAGACTTGGACTGCACTGGCCCTTCAAAGCGCTTCAATCCTCAAACGGGGCTTTGGCACGGTCGGTTTCTCAAATTGGACCCTGCTTTGGTTGGTGGCACAAAAGAAAAAAATGAAAGGAGGCAACGCCACGCCATTTTTAGGGTCTTTGGGGCCCCTAGCTGTTTTCAGATCCCTCCAAGTGCTTAGCTGTCTGTGAGCTTGTGCACAAGGTCAGGTTTTAGGGCTCCAGGTCAGCCTTTTTTGGAGCTGCAGCCTCAGCATGGAAAGTTGGGACCTACCCCCCTCCAGAATGGGTGAATTTCCCTTGGTTGCCTTCAAACAAGCCCCAAAAAGGATACCCTCAAGAAAAGACATTTGATGTTTGTGAAGCTGTTTGAATCGCCTCTGAATCCATTTGATGTTTTGGCTGATCCAGTGCTTCTTTAAGTGGACCCTTGTCGGACACCGGGACCGGAGGATCACTATGCCTACGATGACCTCTACGGCTTCTTCTTAGGTGCCTTGCAGGCGGGTCCCCCAAAACTTGGTGCGGAAACGTTTGGATGCTTCGAAAAGGCCCAGCCTTCCGGAACGGCAAAGCCGTCAACCCCACAGCTTTCAGCTGAAACAAATCCCAAAGCCGACAGTTTTTGGGGCTCTCCATTTTCTTTTGCGAACCCTTGAGTTTACTAGGTCCCCCAGCAGTGCCCTTTTACCCTTTTTTGGGGGAGGGGTCCCCTACTAAAATAGACTACAGAAAAAGGTTGGTACCCTTATCCCAACCTCCTCTTCTGGAGGACCTAGGCTTTATGAAGACCCCAAGGATTTGGCCTGTCGCTCAGCTCTGGACCCCCCGTTCTTTGAGATCTGTGGGCGCTGCCGAGGTGTCAGAATCTCGTTGGTTCCAATTCTGTGCGTCCAAGTCATGAAACATGTTGCTGTGTGTTCAGGCGGGTTGTTAGCGCAAATGAAGTCAGGCTCGGACTGGTTCAAGCAGGCTCAAGTCCTGTCGAGTCTCAGATGTGTTTCCAAGTCAATGAGCAACTCCACCCTCTTCCAAATAGAATTGGGAGAGCTCAGGGGATTTGCAGGGTTCCCTATATATCTTCTTTTGGTGGTTTTACACATCACCTTTTGTGGCATTTTGAGTGAGATTAACTTTAGTGGGGTGTTGCATGTTCTTTCTTTCGAGCAAAACTGAATGAATGGAATGTAGGGCCCTGTCTCCCCACCCCCTTGAGGTGCAGTAGAGATTGCAAGTAAACAAGCCTCAAACCATAATAATTTGCAGCACTTGAACCTATAAACCAAAAATTGCAAGCCCAAAGCGGAAAAAAAAGCTCGGCCTTGTCGGCAAGTTTCGCATGATCCCTGCATCCTGTTATGTTTCTCCGACCGGAAGAAACTTGCTAGTTCTCAGCAGGGAATGAGTTGGACTGACCCCTCAATAAAAAAATAAATAGATAATAAAAATAAAAATAAAA